TCTTCTATTTTTCTTCTGGCGTCTAAATATTCTGCATAGCTATTGACCACTTCCAATTAGTAGCGTCCAAACAGCCGCGTCTTTTAAATAGACAAACACCTAGGACAAATTTCTAGACCCACGTGCTGTAGATTTATTGTCCAAAATCGATGTGTCTTCATTCTTTGTCGTTTTTTTTTTTTTTTTTATTAAACTTTTGGGAATCTCAACAAATATCTGAATTAACGTAGGTACTGTCACGCCGCCGAACAGAAAATTCGCATATCATAATGTGAATGATTTTGATCGCTTTTACTAGTCGAAAAAGCGTTTCTTGAGAAAAAAACCCTCAGGTACTCCAGTTTTCAGACAAAATGCGTCTAGATATTCCGTACAAATAAATGATTACGTAAATATACTACTTAGCGGAAATTATTCGTTATAACGCGTAAAGGTCCTCTTCATATTGCAATATTATTTTTTCAGATATTATCCGTGTTACACTACTGGAATTATTATTACCTATGCCAATGTAATGTGTGTGCGAGATGTTTAAGTGGATTTGCATCTCTGGGTACAAAAGTTAAAATAAATTATAAATTTCCATTTTACACCATCCAATCAAATATGGGATTCGATTTGATAAAATTATTTAAATTTAATATTCTACATTCGTATTTCAAGGTTTTAATGGAATTAATATTTCAAACAAATATTCTTCTTTATTATTATAATTTTTTTTTTTATCGTTATGCAAAATTTCAAATTTTATAAAAATGTCCGCTATTATCTATAATTTATTACTATGGCAATTACATCGTAGTTTTTCATATTGTCGGACGTAAACCTATAGGGACGCATAGCATTCACTGCAACGGAAAAATCTGGAACAATTAACATTTTTTAAATTCAATAGATAAAATCTGGATCACAGAAACCCTCGATAAAACATTTTGTCGTTTCAGATTTTTTCGTTCAATTTGATTGAAATTCTAGTGTTCAGATAATGTTGGGCGCCACTATAAATTACACACTAATAGTAGGCAACTCCGACAACATAAGTCGTATAGTAAAATACTCAAATATAAAACGGTTTCGACAGTTTAATAAAGATGTACGCTGTCGCCTGTCGTGTGTGCCTGCCGTCATAATGTTCACGTCATCTAATAATATATCATTATATTATGTTATCATCACGACCGAGGCCAGAGAAACGAATAAAATAAAAACTCTGTGTACAATACTTCTGATAATGTTATAATATGGAAAACATAATAATATTTATGAGGATATAAAAAAAAAAAAAATTCAAATATTCATGTACCCGATGTACCCGCCGCACTTAACCTTGACAATGACCAAGTCTTTAGGGCAGTAAAAAAAAAAAAAAATAAAAAAAAGGAAAACGACAGTCTAGTTTCTCATTCATGAATGTGTGTGAAGTGATCGAGGTCAATCGATATTTTGAATACGATATAAATCTCGGTTTTTATATATATATATTATATATTATTAAACTGACGTGCGGACACCGTTTATTGTAACTACACCCGCGATATACCGGAACAGGAGACGCTCTGTATCGTGTACCGAAACTACTGCATTTTTGTTTGTACGACTTCACGATATTATATTACTTTATCCCGTAGCTGCGTACCTATTCGATAAGTTTCCCACATAACACTTAGTGTACCTAACTGCGCGTTTGCGACTATCGCGTTCATTTTGCATATTGCCTATATGTTATAATACGAATAAATGTGATCCAGTATTCAGGTCCGGATTAAGGGCTGTGGGGACCCATATTAGTAAGAGGTCCGTTCTCAAATATTCGATTCAACTCGGAATACGAGTCGGTACCCCCACGATCCGGGCCTGCCATTACCGATATGAAATATGAAAAACCAAGAAGTGGAGTGCCAGTGATAATACATTTTTGTGTAAGCACATAGTCCAATGGTTTGGACATGACGTGATGAAAAGACCGAACACGCGCGGCCAATATAAAAACTACTCCGGATATTCAAGTTTAGAAGATCTTTCAAGCGCTCAAAGGTGTCAAAAGTCATAAACAAGCAATATTAATAACAAGCAGTAGAGAGGTTTGAATGTCCCCCCCCCCTTTCTAACGACTCTTACTTATTGAATACAATTTTCTAACACTACAAAATAATTTGTTTTTAAAAAAATTGTTGGTAAGTGCTATAAATTCATCACTTAGCTAGTCATATTTTTAGTGTTAAAAATTGTTATTTTATAACTTAGAGATATTAAAGGAAAACTTATAAACTTTTGATTTTTAAAATATAAATAGTATATATTTTATAATATATATATATATATATATATAGTAATTTTTGAAGTTTTTAAGAGCATTTTTGTAGATTTCAATTCCTAAAAGTCGAGAATAATGATTATAATTGAGACAATTGAAGGCTAAGTGATAATTAGTCATTCAATACTAGTAATTAATAAATTTAAAAATTATTTTAAAATGAAACTCTCCTACACAAACTGATGTGTTTAAATTCTAATTCAATAATAACGGTTAAGTTTATTTTGTCAAAAATCAATAAAATAAATAAACATTATACCCCATGGAAATTATTTGTTAAAAATGTACAGATTTATATATATATTTTTAAATTTGTATCAATAAACTTTAACAGTCACAAGTCTTTATAATTATACATATGCAATAATGATAAACTAATAAGAATTTCTTTTTAAAATTAAAAAAACTTTTTTAATTCACACAACACAATTTATGTGATCAGGTATTTTACAGAGTTCACACATTTTTGTTTTTATATACCTCAGTTTGATTTACAGTTTTATTTATATACCTCATTCATTTGATACCAGTGATAATAAGTTGTAAAACACAATATACAACAAAAACTTCTTACTCATAAACACATATATTAATATAAAATTATGTTTATTAACATAAAAAAATAAAACAAATTCTAGAAAATATGTTTTGTTACCTAATAATTAGTTAAAAAATAATTTTGTTAAAATAAATATAATTAACTAAAAAAAATAAATAGAAAATCATAAAAAAATTCATAAAATTATAATTTAGAATAGTGACTAATTAATAATGTTGATTGATGGTATTTTAAAATCTTAAAAAATATCACTTATATCTATTATTTTTTTCTATATAAATAATACATTAATGTAACTAATATGGCTTTTGAAAAATTGTTCATAATGACGAAGTAGAATAAGAAAAACATCAAAACAATAACTTATAGCAGCGGTTCTAAAAATTATTCGTGATCCTAAAAAATTATAATAATGATAATATTAATTTAAATCAAAATTTTTATTTAATAACTTACTTGTTTAACCTTAATTTTGATCGCGGCCCAAGGTTAAGAACCGCTGACTTATGGCATCAAAAAAATAATTTATTTATGTTGTATTGTACTTCCACTATACTTGTATTATGTTTAGTTTACTGATAAAATTGTAAAACCAATGAAAAGGGTAAATATATTAAATGTTACATAAATTTTTATTTTGTAAGTTAGAAGTATTCAGTTAAGAAATTTTTCTCTGGAAAACTAAAAAAATAATATAAACAAGAATTTGGTATTATCAATGTTAGTATTAAATATAAATTATATTTAATAAATACAAATTATTAAAAAAAAAAAATATAAATATACATAAAAAATAATTACAAATAAGTAGTATAAATAACTCAAGGAAAAATTTGTTACAAATGTTAGTGGAATTTGAAGTAAATTAAAATTGATTAATAGTAGAAGCTGAAAGCTGAAGTAAGTAGCTGATTTGTTCTCTTAAATTAAAAAGCTATTCATTGTCTGAAAATAAAAAATCAAAATCAAACATAGTAAATAATTTTAAGGTTTTTTTTTATAGTTTCTGAATGAAGTTTGTCAACAATTTGTTAAGCATAAATTATACTCCAATCATCAACTTACTACTAGATACTAATTACTTGGTAAGGTTGGAAAGTCATTTATTTAGTTTTCTTGTACTTTTCTTAATAATGAGAAAAGACCAGAAAAAACTGAGGGAAACTTGGAATATTTATGTAACAATGGTTTTGGTTTTATTTTTTGTAATTTGATAAAAATAAAAAAAAATAAAAATAAAGACTGCCATTTTCAGCAAATTCTTATTAGTTTAGTTATCAAAATATTTTGTCATAGTTGTTTATAGGCTAGCTATACTCTATCCAAAATAAGAATAGTAGTCGGCGACAGAATTCTGCACATGGGCGTAACCTTCACTACGCGTACAGAGCATTAGCTCTACTGTCTCGGAGAGCGGTATTAGTCTATAATTAACAGCCAATTAGCACAAATAACTTAAAATGCATTGTGTAGGTACATTCTATGTCATCACATGCGGTGTATCGTCATCGTCTATTTGCTGTCATTGGCTGAGCAACAGGTGGTTGACCAAGCAGGAAGTAGAATGAGCATGGTTCTGACTATCTACTAAGCCGACTAATATTCTTATTTTGGATAAAGAAACATAAATTAAGTTCATATTTTTAAATAACTTGAACTTTAATTGGGTTGTTCATTTTAAGATAACATGCTATGTCACTTGTTAGAAATATAGAGAAAGTGGCAAAGTTTAATGAGATGTCTCCTCTTGAGATAATTTAAAGTAAATAGTTATTTCATACACAATAAAATATTCAATATAAATCATCAAGACTACCAAAATGTAGTAAAAATTAGTAACAAAATTAATTTACCAATGAACATGGAACTAATCAAGTTCATTAAGAAAAAAAATGAACTAGTTTATGAACTTTGTTCAATTATATGCCTATGAACTAGTTTATATTTTAAATGAACATCCCAAGGTCTGGACTAAAAATGATTAAACATTTTATACAAAGTTCATTTTAAGTTATACTTAGTAGTAAAAGGTTGTTTATTTATCAGTATAAATATTTTGCACTCAAGTTCAAATGTATGATATCATTTATTTAAAAATACTAATAATACTGTCTTTTATTTGTTTACCTATGTAGATTCATTAGGCTGCCATTGTAGATATGTGTCTTTTGTAGCTGCCAAATATTCATCAATAAGATTTTGAACAACTGCCCTAGAATCATCCATTTCACATAAATCGTCTTTGAACATCTTTTGCTTACGAAATTGATCCAAAAATGCTTCTCTGTGGCGTAATTTATCATATTGGTCCAGAACCCTTTGAAACAGCTGAAAAATAACATAAAAAATAAATATTTGATGTAAACTAAAACTTTTAAATATTTACTTGAGATATACTTGTGTGATTTGCTAACATAAGACCAGATACTCTGTGGGCAGTGGGAACGTATGGTGACTTTTTGGAGAGAGCAACTTGTATACTGGATGGACCCCAATTAATAAAATTAACAGTTTTTCTTTCTCTAATTCTTTGGAGCGATTTATATACCTGTGTAGGATCAACATCACCCTGGAAAAAAATAAAAAACAATAAGAATTAAATACTTTATTATTAAGGATATAAAATGTGCTTTAGCAAAGAATTTGATGTCAATATTGTCATGAGAATAAATGTCAAGCAATAAAAATAAAAACAAAGTTAGCAAACCCCATCATAATTTAATGATTTTAATGGATTTAATGTTAGTTTTATTTTACCTACCCAAAAATAAAATTGATATTTTTGATACATAAAAAGAAAAAACTAAAGTGTGGATTTTTACATCAAAGAAGAATTTATTGAACGTATGCACAATTAAAGGAGTAAGATAAATTGTCAAAAATTCATTATATTTTGAATAATAGTTTAAAAATAATTTTTTTAAATAAATTAAATACAAAAACTTCAAATATAATTTTGACCAAATTTTTAATCACATTGGAGGTATTTCATACACAATTTATTGGAAACACACGAGAGGTTTTATTTTCTATTTTTCAAAAATTCCTAAATGAAATAGCATATAGGAGATATTATTTTGTAGTTTATTTATTTTTTCAGAATTTAGAGTAACTTAAATCTAAAAATCGTATATTTGGCACATAGGTATTTTTCGTTCAACAGCGAGTATTAGCATATTATAAAGCATAGTATTATCTATATCTCTCTCTTGGTAGTGAATATTTAAGTCTGTAAGTATTAAATTACAATATATGAACAAAAAGTTAGTTTAATATAATTATTAAATTATTAAAATCCTAACCAAACCCGATCATTGTACAATAATATATTCACTTAAACAAAGCATTGTTTTTTCCTTATTATGATTATTTAACATTGGGGGTTAAAGGTAATTATTGTTCAACTTAACTAAGCTCTAGTTGTTTTATTTGAAAGTAGATCCGAATAAAAAATGTCCACAAAATCAAATTGTGTTTAACTATTATTCGAGTCATAAGATACAATTTTTTGTACAGTAGAACCTCGATAAGTCGAAATTCTAGGGAAATACAATTTTTTTCGACTTAGGTATCAAGGTTTTTAACTTAGTACAGTTTTTGAGTATTCAAGGTTTTAGAAAAAAGAATTCGAATTAGGGAGTTTTTAAAATTTATGAATGTACTACAGTTTTTAATTTATTATATAGTATATATACATACAATTACCATGTGTATTATTGTTTTAAAATTGTACCTATTACTAAAAATTATAATATTAAATTATGGGATGCACAAGTCGATTAGAAAAATGCTTATAAAAATTATCCATCATTATCTGTTTATATTTGGAACACAGAATGTTCGAGTTATCTTAAGTTTTTCTTTTTAGTAATCGAGATTTTCACAAGGGAATGAAATTTATTTGTCTTATCAAAGTTCAACTGTATATATTTTATTTTATAAATTAAATGTATAAAATAAATACTTGAATTATATTTAATATTGATAAGTAACAATGTGGTATGGTAGATCTTTCTTGTACTGTGGACACCATCATATTTTTTGGCTGTAACAACCTTCTCATTACATCAAACACTGTTGTTTTACGAATATTAGCATCCTATTAACAAACGGTATGATAAAATAAATTACAAAAAAAAAAAAAGAACAGTGAAACAATTACCTCATGATCAGTAGTTAAAGGTGTGTAACCAGTCATAAGGAAATGTAAACGTGGTGATGGTATTAAAGGCCCGATGAGACCAACCAAATCGTTGTTCATGTATGAAGGATATCTGATTAAAATAAATAAACACATTTTATAAAACAATATTTTTATTGGGAAATTATTGATTAAAAATTACCGTAGTGTAGCAGTAGAAACAGACATAATTGTTGATACTAATGAGTTTATTTGAGCAAATGATGGATTTTCAATATGTAGACGATCAGTAGCAATACGATTTAAAGCAGTATTATCCAAAACTACAACACAATCTGCACTCTGCGCAAGTCGTTTTAAAGTCAATAATGAATTATAAGGTTGTACGACTACATCACTGAAAAGATTATTTATTAAAAAGATAAATTCATTACTATTATTTAAAGAATAAAAAAACTCATACCTTATTTCATCTTGATTTGGAAAAACACTATATGTTTCAATTATTTTTTTGGGATACCGGTCAGTTAAATGTTCGAGTATAAATGATCCCATGCCTGAGCCTGTACCACCAGCAATTGAATGGCACAAAACGAAACCTTGTAAACTATCTCCGCCTTCTGCTTCACGATCTAATATGTCAAACACTTCTTCCTGTAGTCTTTCACCTTGAGCAAAACCTGATGCCCAATTGTTTCCGGCGCCACCACCGTGTTTAGATAGATAAACGTTTTCAGGATTGTATAACTAAATATTATATGAAAATTAAACCATTATTTAAAAGTAATTGTACTCATTGTTCGACTTACTTTTGAATAGTTGGATGACATGATTGAATGTATAACACGTGGTTCCAAATCCAACAAAACAGCTCTTGGCACATAATGATTATCATCGGCCTGATAAAAAAATACATCTTTTCTATCGCCAACACCTTCTGTAGCAAATGGTTCTAATACCCCTTCTGGATTAATTCCATGTTCAGCACACAGTTTTTTCCAAAATTCAAAACCAACTAAATATGAAATTATTGCATTATTAAAATGTGAATATGACATTTAATAAATCAAAATTATCAACATCATTGGGTAGCAATTAATGAAAATAACAATTTCATATTAAACAATCAATTTATAAAATTCTAATTCGTTATCTAATGTACATAATGTACTTGTTTTTGTTTTAACTAATTTGTGTAATAATAATAATAATAATAATGTATTTAAAGAATAGGCACATAGTACAAAATCACTCCAATTTAATAGTAGGTATAAACAAATTTTTAAAAAAAAGTAAAAATTTGAATTGAACTTCTTTGTTATTTTTCATAACAAAGGATAAATGTTCAAGCTTTTGAGATTCCAATGGATTAAATTTTGTTTGGACTTCATAATAATTGTTTTATTTCTATAGATATTATAAATATCAATTTTTTGTTAAGGTTGGTATAATTATGTTTATTATTCATATTCATAAAAAGATTATATTGATGTTACACATGACAAAACAAATTAATTAATATTACAAATAATAACACATTTTAGTGATAATTTTAATTTTTTTTATCCATTAACGATTTAATGTACCTACAAATCTGTTTTAAATTCGAATAGACTTATTTAAACTGTATAAGTTGTATTTTGTTAGTTTTATGAATAAAATGCTACCATAAAAATAAAAAATAAGGTTAGGGTGCTGGATTTAATAACGTTCTATAATTTTGTAACATTTAAACTTATTTTAAAAATATTTTAATGACCAAATTGATGATTAGATTTTTCCTCTTATCTACTGCCCGATACTGAATTAATGGGAAGGAATAACCTGTTTTTACATTTTCGTTTTTTTTTTAAAAAAGTATCAATTTTTGCCAATTGTACCAAGTATACTAGTTACTTGAAAAACTTCTGAAAACATATTTTAATTCATCATGAAATTTACTAGACATCTAATTTTTTTGTATTGTCTAGAAATTTCATATCATTTTTTCCACTTTTAAAATTTAAAATTAAATTTTTTGAAAGATTCTAGAGTTTAGTTTCAAAAAAGGAGAAAAGTGGTTTTCAAATAAACTTCATGATGAATTCAAATATGTTTTCAGAAGTTTTATCCTACGACACTCTGTACAATCGGCATGATATAAGTTTATTTTTATAGAAAATACAGCCAGAAACGAATCATTTTAATAAAAAAAAATTAATTATTTATACGAATATGCAGAACTCAAAGAACATTGGTAACTTAGTCACTAAAATCTAGTAAGATTAATTTGTATATTGATATGAATTGCTACTACGACGGTAATGTTGAAAATGTAAAACTGTTCAAAGTAGTTGGTTAAATAACAATCGATGTATTAACGTATTTTGGAAATAACTTACTTTGATTACCACATTGGCCAAGTTGAACCGTTATCATTTCACACGGCATTTTGAGATGAAATTGATTTTTATTATATTCAAAACGTATAATATAACCGTAACGATAAAAAGAAAAACGATTTTAAAATAAAAAACAATTATAATTTGTACAAAATAATATAATATTTATGTTGATTATATTGTGAACAATGATAACAGAACTATAGAAATGGAGGGAAAGGAAATGAAACCTTATCGGTTATCACAAACAAAACTTGGGTTAACTTTTGTAGGTTATAAATGTTTAATTGATTTTAACGTGTCGGGACCACTAGTGGTTTTAAATAATACCATGTTCAAGAGGAACCATTCCAACAAAAACACACCAATCTTGATTGAATTTTACCGATCAATTTAATTACGATTGAACTTCGTTTGGATTTTATCATTATAAAATAAGATAAGATATCTTAAATCGTGATTATAATCAAGATATCGTGATTACTAACCGCGGTTATGTTAACCGTGAAGATAAAATCATATATACACGATTCAGCTGCACCGCACCGGTAAAAGTACCAACCGGATCTGTACGGATAAGTAACTACCCTCCCGTCAATTGCAATATTCCCGTTCGGTAAAAACGTTTCCCTTCACGCCACTGCAACACTGCCGGTTAGACTTGTTTACAGTACCTTGATAAAGGCGCTCTTTATCACGTCACTCTAGACTACAAAAAGGATAAACAGAAATGCCGCCAAAAATTGATATTTGTATTTCATTAATTTTTCATTTAATTTTTGAAAATCCCAAATAGTAAACACTATTTTTCCTATTTATTACAAAAATCATCTGGAAATCTTTCAGTATTTAGAGTACCTATCGAAGTACAAAAGTTTATCGGATAAATTGATTAAATCATTAGATTTAAAGGATTTAAGTAACACCTAAGTCTTTTGTTCTGAACGATTAAACTATAAGAAAGAAAGATACTGTTGGCCGATTTGGATACCCTATATTATGTTCCGTAAGCAAATAAGTAGACAGGCATCAATTCATTTTTTCTTAGATTTTATCAATTACCTACTTATTCACTCTAATTATAATAATATAGGTACGTATTCCTTTATATGCATATTTAAAGGGGCTGAGTGTAATAACAATTTACTTGTAAAACTTTTTTAATACTTTTTATTCAAACTTCAAGTTTAAGTCCACGTTTAAAGCTAAATACAGTAAGTAGGTAACACATGTATCCATCTCAGAAATTATAATTTAACGATGATTCACATGAAGAATGTGAGGTAGATTTTATTATGATCATACACTTTGGTTAACTTGTTTACATCGACTTTAAAAAGATAAATAATAATAATTCCATAATTACTTATATTGTATAAAAAACAATTCTTCAATCACTGAATCTGATTTTTTATTTTATTAAACTGGGTTAATTATTTATTTATAATCTAACAAAACGCTCCAAAATTAAATTATTTTTTAAAATTACCTACCAAAAGGAAAAAATATTAATATCAAATAGGAAATACCTACTACATTTATTCTCATCCCGGAAGCGGTTAAAATTTGACAATATTGTTGACGATTGTGTTGAAGTAAATTATCGAATAAAAATACATTTGTTTATACATTATACAATGTTTAACGTAATTTTTATAAATTTTAGATAAACTATTAGCTAAATCATATGAATTGACGTCTACTGCAAACGAATTGTTTTTTTGTTTTTTGTAATCTAAGAAATCATTTCAGTTTTAGAGTTAAATTAGCTTAAAGATTAAAAAACAAAAAAAAAAAAAAAATCATTAATGACAATGGAAAATTAATCGGTGGCAGACAACGCAAAGTCATTATATTTGACCATGATTACGATTGTTTTTTCAAACAATAATAAAGTAAGTGAAATAATCAATAACAAAATATAAAAAGTAAATTCAAAATATCGCCATAACTTTTATAATTTCCACAAAAATATGGTGTATTTTCAATACAAATACGATGCGTCATTTTATTGTACTAATATTACTTTGTCCCAATAAAGTAATATTGTTTATTTTTGTATTATTAAATTGTGTAGTTGTGTGCCTGGTGTCACATTTGCAAAATAACGTTTAATAACAGTGACGTTATTTTAAAAACTAATTCACGGTCGCCATCACGGCTCTCAGCCGGCAAAACAAAAGACGCGCCCAAAATAGCCGCATTATCATAGTGAAATTTAGAAATCTAATCAAAATGATAAACTCGACGGGAGACCACATTAAGTGTACATCGGATGATTTATTAAACACGTCGACGTTAGCATAGAACAATAGGTATAATATTGAAATTGTATAGTGATTATGTTATTATGTATACAAACGGCCTACTATTATATAATATAACGTATGTATTGTTGACAAAAATAAAACATCGGAAAATAGACGTATCGCTTCCGGCAATATTATTTTTTAAATAATACGCGCGGGGCGATTATTTCGAATGTTTCTCGGCGTACTCGTCAAACGCTTTGATGGCATCCTGTTTGATCTGATCGTCCGGATTGATGCCGGTAGTTTTGGTGCTGCTGAACTTGTTCTTTATATTCGTGTATATGGAGCTAAAATAGTCGGATAACTTCGATTTATTGTCTTTAATTGATTCCTGCACTTTGTCCAGCTCTCCAGCCGTGGACTTTTTGATCGTCTGCACGAAGTCGGTCACCTTTTCTTTGGCCGTGTCAAAAATCGTACTATCCGTTCCGTGTTGAAGCTGTTCTTTCTCTGCCGGCGCCGCTTGGCTCAACTAAATCAATTTAAAAAGAAAAAAAAAACGAGATGACATTTTTCATCTTTGTTACACTTACGCGCATTTACGTCACAAAAATAAATATAAGTAATAATGATAATAATGCAAACGAAAACCGTTTACCACCATGGAAAACTACCTACTAGTCATGAATTTCGTGGTAGGCTTAACGACAAATTATAGGTATTCATAGAGATCGCAAAATACTATCGGAATATCAGTTTTAAAACAAAATCCAGTAAAAAAATGTTCGGAGGAATGTGGAAAATAATTTTTGTTTATGTTTTTCTTGGCGGGAAATTGACTGTGAAGAAACAAAAGTATCTTATTTTCGGAGGGAAATGGATTCAACTGAATACGTTAACTAAAACGATATAATATTTTCGTTTGTAAAATAGTCAATATCGACGTAGAAATAATGCGCATACAGATTTCAATATTTCAACGTACCTGAGTTGAATATGACACAAGTAAGTTTCGAAAGTTGTACGTATATTACGTAAGAGCGAGAAGAGTAGAATATTATAATAGGCTTTTTGTACATGGTATTATTTGTTCGTGGCAACTCTCGTAATTAGTATGCTTGTAAAAAACTATGATATCTACTTCTATTATATAAAAACAACGTTTAATTTAATTTGTTCGGTTGACGAGAAAAATCGCAACAAAACGTAGTGTGATCGTTGACAATGTTTTCGCACCGCAGAGACGATATCGCGAGCGTGTCAGCACGCCGACGTTTTCCTATAGCATTGACCAACGTTGCATATTTTATACGTTTTATGTTTAGGTACAATAAACGGACACGAAAATAATCGATTTGTAGTTTGTATTCGATATGAAATACTGCGGGGGAAAAATATCCTACGAGTAGGTTTGTATTGTAGATAATGTTCGGATTAAATCGAATAATCTGTGTGTACAGAATATTTACGATGAAAAAAAAAAATTTCGTCTTCAACGGTGTACAATCCACAAAAAAAGCCCATCGGGAAAAATTGCTATTCAAACGTACAGGTACGCGAGTACGTTGCTTACGGCATGGTATTATTATACATCGTACGTCAAGTGCGATTATTGTGTTATTGTTACAATCGAAAATATTAACGCGAAGCATATCATAATATTTCAATCGATTGTCGGCGAAACAAACGGTAATAAATGCGGCGGCAAATGTGCATAATTCATTATAATATAGTCGGTGGCGTAGTATTGACAGTGTTTTCGACGAGCCACGGCTCCGTCTTAATTTGCAAGCGAATACAAGACGGCTGCGGATATCTTTCTGAATAGTGTAATAAATCATTAAATCATATTGCAAATGAATAGTTTAATGGAAAAAAAAAAAAAAAGGAGATTTTCGATAAGTATATAAGTTTCGATTAAGTGCGTCATAATATACGTACGCAACATATACACAGATATCGGTAGGTTTTGCAGGTATGGGCGGGTGTGTTCAAATAAAACGAGTAAGGGTACTGGGGATGGGTGGTGTTGACAGATTTTGGTTCCTTAGGTAAATATACGTTCAACACGTCGCCGGTTATTGTAGGCGGTACGTGTTACATAGGTGGAATAATACAATTATGTAACGCGTAACGGTGACAGGTACATGCATAGTATTGTTATTGTTGTTACGTCGAACGAGAAAGAACAAAAAGAAAAAAAAAAAAAAACAGAGAAATACTCACGTCGAAAACCAGACAGACGAGCGTCGCGACGACGAGGATTTTCGTAGCGAAACCTGCCATATCGGATCGTCAAAAATAACGTTTGGTACGCACGTATGAGTGATGAAAACCCGGAGGACGCAGTACGCGATTTTTACTTTGAACGGTTAACGAAGGTGCGTGTCGGAAGCGACGGAACGCTACACTGAACGCCATTTGATATTGCGGCCAGCTAAAGGATGGACAAGTTAGCTAGCGAGTGCGTGTGCGTGTACGTGCGTGTGTGTGTGTGTGTATGTGTGAACGTATGTGTGTGTGCACGCGCGCGTGAACGTATTTTTCCGACCCTAGACCTACAAGATCACGGCGTGATTAGATTAGCCTCCTACCAACCGACTATAAATATTATTATTATCAGCAAAACGACAACAGATGAACGCGCTGCTAAGCATCGTCGTGCGTGTTTTGGGTGATGGAAATGAATGAAGGAAAAAAACAAAACGGACGGATTTACTTCGCACCGCGGGTGGGCCGCTGTTGTAGATGCGAAGTGGGGAAAATAGTAGGATATAGAGGGTTATTTAATTTATATCCGTACGAAAGATTATAATCAGTGCTAACGAAAAACGGTTCTGAGCGGAGCCTAATCAATAGTATTGCTTTTTCAACAACGAGCGTTTGCACAACAATAACGGTTGTTTAAAAAACATTCAAAGATTAATCAATTAATAAAAACTTAATAATCACTAATAATAAATAAAAACGGTTAACAATGATAATCTTTTTGTTTATTTTTTAATCTTTTTTACCCTAAAGAACCAGTATTTTTTATTATCTCAAATATTTATGAGAATTTAAAAAAATGACCTTTCTAAAGTGTACGTCAACTAAAGCCAAAGTTCATTGCTCGGAACAAGGTTCCTAAGAGAAATTTTGTGCGCAGTTTAGAAAATTAAAAATTAACATCATTGTAAAACAAATACATTTCTCGCTTCGCTTGGAATCTAAAAAAAAAACAACAGCAGTTCGCCGATATTGTTTGTGGTATACGAGTATTATAATAATATTATTTCGTATAGGCAGCTACCAACCGGCTGCACGCGGACCGGAAGAGATTGGAGCTAAATATTTTAGTATTTACTCTGCGGCAATGTTATGACCTACCGCTATTGCGACATTAAGTACGTTCTAAAAAATTATTATGTTATCAACACGTTATATTAAATTATACAGCGTGCGTTAATACGCAAATTTCGTCTAAATCACGTTTTAAGATAACAATTTAGTATAGGACTATAATATTATATTATTGTAATTATATAATATTATATAGGACTTTATCTTAAATCACGATTTAAATGTATAATATTACGAAACGGGTACCGGGCTGATCGGGATTTAGTACCCTCCCCCCCCCACATAAACTGTATATTTTTCTTGGAAAGTAGAAAAGTATAAAGAAATATATTTCGGGTTTTGAGCCCTATGACAAAAGATAAAAAGCTATCGACCCCGTTCCGAACACACGCGGCCTATTACGGACACATTTCGAGTAAATATCATACGATTTTTGGTTATCTTCCGCTCCCCTCTTTATCGTCAAACTTTTAGTACATCAAAGATGCAACATCGCGAAAACAATATTACAAACATTTTATTCTTGATGTGAACGCATTTCATACCACATCCGTGTCTAGAAGAATAATCTCTTGTTCAACCGGAATCGACGTACAATTTTTTATTCATCTATATTATTGTACAATTAATACTATATAGGAGAATTATTTCTATCTACGAGCTACGGAAATATGCCTAATGTATCTGGAATGTCTGAAAATAACCAACTCTAATTTACTCGAAGTCTTTGACCGCTGGTTCATATATAATAGCGGACGTAGGATTTTTTTTCGGGGGGGGATTGTGTATATAATAATTTCTTAGAGAAGGGATAGCACAAAATATTATCAGTGCAGTAGGTCAATACTATCTAATTACCGAGTGAATGATGAATTTTGTGGTATAAGATATTATGCCGCTGAACGTAAAACTTGATTTAAAACAATTTAGCAAAAGAAACATCAAGAAAGTTCTAACCCCTTAACCATCGTCAGTGTGCGCCACTTGTTCATATAGGGGCATCATCACTATACCACTGCGATGACGATAAAATAATCACTCTGTATTCTGTGTAGTTTATATCCGTGTATATTATTTGGTTAAACCTTGAACGGCGTCGGCACACAGTGTCAATGGTCCAAAAAAAGTAGGAAAAAAATGTTTTAATGATAATTTGTAATGTATCATGACTTAAACAAACAAAAAAGAACGAAAAACGATTCTGATCAAAGTTCGGTTAAACATGTCAGGGTATATTTCGAAGCACTGGTTGCGATGTTGAGAACAAATATTGCACTGTTGAAAATTACATTTTGACGCCGTTGAAAAATTATGTATTGGGTACTGTAGATTGTGATAGCTAATAGGCGATTTGCTAATAAAAATAATATGCATAAATATTCCACATCTACGACATGATGATTAGATTCTGAGTGGAGGGAAGAAGCTTATGGTTTTAAAAAGATTTTTTTTTTTTATCTGTGGGCAATTTTTTTACCAGAAATCTTGCTCCGGTTTTTAAGTGTAGCACCTTTTCTGAAAAAAAAATGTAGGTGTGGGGATGTACGATTATCTCAAGAGATTTTCTCATCCCCGATTCCCATTATAACAATAAAATTGTATAATTAATCACAAATCTATGTATAATTTAATAAATGTATTTTGTTTTATATTATTGCGTTTTGATGTTTTAATGTGTAATAAAATGAATACAGGGGTACAAAATAAATGAAAGTATACTCACTAATCACTTAGATTACCGATTACAGCCTACAACGGTAAGAAACAATTAACATAAGATATACACAATGAAGGGTAACAATAACATACTTACCTATCGTGAACGGACTATACTCAGCAACAATGTTGAGTTTGAATACAGGTATAATTATAACCAACAAAACCGTACCGTACAAAACGAATAAAATACAATAATATTTTGTGACTGCGTTGTAGGCACATATTGTAAAGTACGTACATGTAACAATTAAAATATTGTATACTGCGACCTTATTTTTAAGAGTGTATTACTATCGGAAAAAAAACCAGTTCGAATTAAACATTTTTATTTCATCGTGTTATATAATAGTTATCACATGTCTATAATATCTATTAATTTATGCTCAGTTGCACCAAAAGTAATCGACACACGAGCAATCTTGTTGTTATAAATAACAATTAGAATATTACACAACAGATCGGTATTTTTCAGATCGATTCCGCGCAATAAAAAAAAATTCTTATCTGTAATTCAATTATATCTGCCTGAATTTTTTAAACACTGACACGACCACAATATTTGTATCTGTATACCTGTATATTTATATCGTCACAACATCTGCACAAAATTATTATTGTTATAATAATAAATACATAAGTTACTTTGGAAAAAATGGAAAAAATGCGACTAATAATACTCCGCTCTAATCGTTTTTTTTAGTAATAGTTTATCTTTGCGTACAGAATACAATTTATTTTAATGTAATTGTTTAGAATTGTGATTGATGGTTTACTAGATTTAGTATCGAAAATTTAATTATTTGTATTGAAGAATAATCGGAAGTTTTATTTATTTTTATCGCGATAAATTATAGCCGTTTTATATTTCTCGGAAAAAAAAAAAAAGACATAATAATAATAATTGGCAATGGAGACCAATTTATCAACGGACCACCAATGGTCTGTAAGGTCTGATAACCATAAATATCCTAAAAGTTTCTCTATAGAAGTTATTTTCTTTTCTTTATTATCATTTAAAGTGTCGCATTCGATATATAAACCACAATTTCCATCTCCATGAACATTCTCTCCTGGTTTGTAATTATCACTAAAGATTCAATTTATTTATTTTTACTTACTTTCATTATTGTCATTATTTTACTCGTTATAATAAATTGCTTCTAATTCATTATCATTTTTATTATTAATAACTGTCGTTAGTATTATGATTAATGTATGAAAATGGTCTACTTCCATAGTAGAAATAGAAATACTTAAAACCTTCTAAACGTCACAAATTCATGATTTTCGCATGGTTTATCTATTATCAGAAGTTAATGATAAACTATACACATTGAACACAACATAAAGTTAATCAATACTTAACCTAATCTAACCTTTGTGTGATAACGTTTAGAATATTTATGTATATATTTTATCAGTAACCTATCATACAATCAATATGGTTTAATCTTTAATAAATTCAGTATGTACTAATAGTATACGCTTATAATTTTCTTTGTACTAAATAAATATTTAAATAATATAAATACATATACAAAAGGTTTTATGTAATTTTATTTCTTACAGTTTTTGACAAATATGATGAATCTTTTATAATATCTTCCCATTCATTTAAATTATTCTCATTTGTTATGTGTTATTTGTTATATTGTTAAGGAATGATCGTTATTATTTTATTTCGTTTGATTATTTAATTCATTAAATATTTTATCTACCATCATTTTCAAATAGTCTTGACCATCATGAAGAAATTTAACATCATACTTGAGATTTGTCCATACTCTTAGGGATTGTTTAGCATAATCTGAATCAAATTTAAGTAATTAAACCTAAGTACTTTTTATATTGAAATATTCAAAGCTGTTAGAATCATCACCTTCAATTCAACACTGTTTCTAATTGCAATTCATCAATCGATAGTACTTTTGGCACAGCTAAAAATGCATTCAATTTGTGGTAAAATACTCTTGGTATAGAGTTGAAATTCTAGAGTGAAACTATGGAGTGTGTGAGTTATATTTTAAAACTGAAGACATTTTAAGGACATGGGTTTAAGGCCAAAGTCAATTTTCGGTTGGTGAATATATTATTATGATATATAATATTTATCCATTTGTTCATCTTAATGTTAGTTTTAGTAGTTTTAAATATTATCTCTTAGATATGTTGAATTTCTATCCTAGTCAGATTTTCTTTCAGAAAAGGTGTTACATTTGTAAATT